GATACCAAACATGTGTATGTTTAACTAAAATAACTTAGAGTAATTAAAGTAGAAAACCAGGGGTTTGGGCTTAAGAAATAGATGAACCGATTGGCGGGCCGAACTTTGGTCACTCGCGGGCCAGATGTGGCCAGCAGGCCGCCAATTGAATAGCCCTGCACTAAGGAAACATCAGATTCTTCTCTACAGTCTGTTAGTTATTGTAGCAGCTCTGTTTACATGCAGACACGCCCCTTTGACATCACTTCCTGTTACTGAACATGTGAACATCTCAACAACTGTTCATCTCAGAAGTGTGAAGTTTTGTTTTCAATTCAATTCAAAAATACTTTATTGATCACAGAGGGAAATTAGGTAATTAGGTAATTAGGTTTTACTATATTTTATCAAAGTTATCTTCCCAAAAATGCATTTACATTTATTACAAAAAGTGGCACGTTAAATAATACATGCAAGTCAAACTCAAGTTAAGTTAAATCCTAAAATTTCTCTTACTTTTGTTCGTATGAAGGGTTCGTACGAACATGTCACATCAGATTCAACAAACTCTTCTATCTTCAGGAAAAATGTGTAAATGAGCTGCATAAACTGATGAATTACACCTGTTCATATCCAACTGCTCATGCACGAGGAGAGGTTATTTACACAATAATCACCCCGAAAACACTGTATAAGGATATACGTTTCCTACCCCACATACCAGGACATGTCCATTCATGAATGACATCACAAAGTAAAAAATAAGAACTTTACAAGTTCAGAGATTGAAGTTCTGCTCTCGGAGATCCACAAAAAAAGTCATTTTTAGCAGCGTCAGCTTGGAATGAAAAGACCAGCTAAAGCCAAAGAATGGAATGAAGTAACTACTGCTGTTAATGTCGTGTCTCCTGTGGGTCGATACAGTCACAGAAATAAAAATTTAAATCATATTTATCTCTCTCTAGTCCTGCTCCGGTTTTTCTTTGGTCAAATATTTTTAATTTAAGTGTAAAACACCTGTGTTACATAGTTTTAATTTATTCAGAAGAAGAGCGGTGGTGCATCGCTTCCCTCCTAACCTCTTGTTCCTCTTCTTTCTGCTGCCTCAGCACGTAAAACAAAAGCTCAGCTTGGACACTTGGAACATCTAATGCTTGAAGTTTTTGTTCCACAGCAATTATACATCTTTCTAATTTTACTTCCTTGTTTTAAATCATGACCAACCTTGAATCAGGTAACCTAAAGCTCTGTCTAAAAAAAAGCTGATTCCTGTTCATGAGCTGCTAAGGTCTGGTTCTGACCTGTGCTGGCCTGGTCAGCAGGCGGGCCGGGGGCAGTGGTCGGTCTSTCAGATGGAGGGTTGCAGGCCTTATCGGGGATGACAGCCTGGATCACCACCTGAGGTTTGTAGGAGCCCGAGTCCACGTACGTGTGGGTGACCGTCAGCTCTCTGGATATGAGGGCGCCGCTCCCGTCCCCAAAGTCCCAGTTGAAGGTGATGTCAGCGTTGCTCAGGTACTCGCTGGGGTCGTGGAGGGTGACCGTGAAGGCGATCGCTCTGTTCTGCACAAAGCGCATGTCCCTGGCCACGATGTCGTTCACTTGGTCCAAGGAGACAGCGAACGGGATCTGATCTGAGGACGACATCATGAAACGTGATTGATGGGTCACATTTAAAACAGTTYTTTCACTTTAATGTTCTTGCAGGTTGCAGAAGGTCACACTGTGAATAACTGAATATCAAGAAGGGATTCATGTTTCTAAGTGAAAGCCAGATGTTTGCACAGTTTGGAGCTAACCGGTTATGGAGAACTGAGTGGAGGCATATCCCAGAGGAATGAACTTCTCCTTGCTCCGGTAGTGATAGATAACGATCTCCATGGTGTAGGAGCCCAGAGGRATGTTGTCCGTATCAATGGTCAGGGAAGAGGAGGGCCCGTCGGCCACCTGCCAGTACTCACCTGTCCGAGGAACAGAGCGGCTAACGTTTTCAGATCAGAGCTTAACGTTTGAGAGTCAGTGTTCTCCACTCACCCCAGGTCTTCCACACAAACACATAGGCTGGTTTTCTGTCCTTCCTTACTGGGGTCCCATCAGGAAACACAGGCTCCCAGTCTGGGTCCGGTTCTGGGTAAACTGGCTCAGACTGAAGATACTTTGTCCCTGGAAGGTGGTTAAAAAAACAAATTACATTTTCTTGTAATTGAGCAGTGTTTCTGTGTAGATGTTAAAATCTGTAGTTTTATTTAAAGATGGTTTGTTTTATTCAGTTCTAGTTTAAATCACATCCTGAGTAAACAAACAAACAAACAATGAAACAGATCTAATCCAGTGAAAATGAGATAAACGCAGGAGAAAATCTGTTTCTAAAGAGAAGTACGTTATCAGCCTGAAAAATGACCAAAACWGGTCCMTTGTTTGGTTAGMCATTAGCCTAGCCTGGAGAACACCTTCTGTCCTTTTCTTTATACATTTTGCTCTGTGATGTCACCCCCACCCCCATGTTTCCATATGTGCACTCAGAGTCTTAATCCAAGGATTAAAAGGGATGAAAGAGGAGGAGGTAGGTGTGGAGATTCCACACTTCAGAGCAGTGAGGTGCTTTTTTACAGGGACTTTCAAAGGCATTGAGCTAAAATTTGAAGGTCATAGCTGAGAATCAATCAAAACAAACGTTCTAAGACAGCAGTGTCCCATCCTGGTCCTGGAGGCTCATGAAACTGTTTTAAAGTATGATATATAGTATGTATAAATATATGATGCTTATACATACTATACATCATACTTTAAAACAGTTTCATGAGCCTCCAGGACCAGGATTGGACACTCCTGGTCCTGGAGGCTCATGAAACTGTTTTAAAGTATGATGTATAGTTAGAGTATATGGTTAGGGTTAGGATATAAAGTCTATAAAACATGAATGGACGTCAATGGAAGGTCCCCACGGGGTCAAGAAACAAATGTGTGTGTGTGTGTGTGTGCGTGCGTGCGTGCGTGCATGTGTGTGTGTGCGTGCGTGCATGCGTGCGTGCGTGTGTGTGTGTGTGTGTGTGTGTGTTACCATCGACTATGCAGTCCTCAGCCCACACCACGCTCCCATCAGGCTGCACCTTCTGTCTGTGGGGGAACTCCAGGTCGATGGTGAAGGTGACTTTGGCTCCGGTCAGCGTTGGAGAATCATTCCCAACATTAAAACTCACTCTTCCACCTGCAGCCAGAGGAGCAGAGACACACACACTTACACATCTGTCAACCTGAACAACATTACAACACACACACCTTTCCAGGCATCTTTGACCCGCGAGTCACCATCCTTCCAGATGGGGTACATCTTTGTGTTCCATAAAGGGTAGYGAGTGAAGCGGTTTTTAGGCTCTGAAATTAAGAGTACAATATGTCAAACAGCAGGAACACACCTCGATACACACACAGCTCAACACCAGATATTTACATACAATGGGCCTCATGCAAGAACCGTTCGTACGCACAGATTTGTTCWTAAGTTGTGYGTACGAGTGATTTAGGAGAATTTGTGGCATTCACCAATGTTTTCGTATTCTAAGATTTTTTTCAGATACGAACAAAATTCACGAGTGGTGCAGACCTGTCGTATATTTTACGAGCAGTCAGTCTGCTGTTATCCAGACGGGTTTTCTTCACTAATAACTTTATATTTCGTTAGTTTGAAAATAATTTGAGTTGAAAATAAATTACACTCCATAATTATGTTGACAATAGGCTATTCTGCTTGAATTAGAGTTATAATTTTAAATGTAATAATTTAGACTAACAATATAAATTGTCCGTCCGGCTGGTTTATCCGCTATCGGGTGCGGGGGCAGCAGCAGAAAGACCCCGCTCTCCCCAGCGACACTTTCCAGTTCGTCCTGGGGGACACCGAGACGTTCCCAGGCCAGAGGGGATACATAATCCCTCCAGCGAGTCCTGGATTTTCTCCAAAGTGCCAGACTTATTTGAAATCATTTTAAAATGCTTATTTCAAACCCGCATCTGAGACCACCTGCGACCGCGCGGCACGCGGGGGTGGGGGTGGGGTCTTGCGGTGTGCAACGGTGTGGCTTCTGAATAAATGAAAATGATTTAACACAGTTGTTTTTGCTTTTAGCAGCTCATTTTATTCCACAGCTGACCTGCTAAAAATGACAGATTTTCTCTTCTGGATCTCTGACAGACGGACTTCAATCTCTGAACTCATAAAGTTTTTCTTTTTAGTTTTCGCTGTCATTTTCATGAATGGACACTTCCTTGTATCTGAGGCAGGAAACATAGCCTTATATGGTGTTTTTGGGGTGGTAATTATGCTAATCTCCTCTCTCGTACACGAGCAGCTGGATACGAACAGGTGGAATTTACGCAGCTCATTTACACACTTTTCCTGAAGATAGAAGAGTTTGTTGAATCTRACGTGACATGTTCGTACGAACCCTTTGTAYGAACAAAAGTAAGAGAAATTTAGGATAAGAATATGAACATGTTATTGCATGAGGCCCATTGTCTGACATTAAATCAGACTCAACATTTCCTGGTTTGGGTCAAATGTTTGGTGTTTTCTTCCACAGCTTCTCACTAAATAATTGCTGGAGTTTTGTCCCGTACTTCCTGCCTCTTCAGCCCACGTGTTTTATGGGATTGAAATTAGTGCTTTTTGATGGGCACTCCACACTTTGTTAATCTTGATCTACATTGTACCTAATCTGTCTGCTGAGGGTCTTTGTTTGTTTAAAGTTTTTAACTTCCTGGCTTCAGATGTTGCTTCAGTGTTTCTAATGTTCTTTTCTCATGAAGTCATCATCTGAGTTTTCACAAATTGTTTAAAAGCAAAACAATCGTCGTGTATGTAAACTTGTTATATTTCACCACTAATCAAACTAAAATAATTTTGTGGATCTATACTGACCTAAAACAAAAACATTTTTCTGATTCAGTGCAGAAAATGTTCTGTGTTGTATGTAAACATCTGGTTTCAACAGTTTAAGTCCAAGTCATGCAGTTAAATGTAAAATAATTCAGTTTCATAATTAAATAAAGTAAAACTTTCTTTATTCATGAATCAAAGCTGCTGTAAAAGACTGGAGTAAACTTTAATACCAGAATAATCTGGTTCTAATCTCTCATGTGACGCTGAGCTGAGAGCGCTGTTCAGGATTATAACTTTACAGATCAGCTGYGTCACAGGGCAGAATAAAAGTCCCGACTCATGACTGAAATGTTGCTGAGTCACACTTTTTAACAGCACCAAAAACTATTTTTACACCAATAGATTAAATTATCTTCTGTTTTTGTCTGCTTTAATATTTGATGCTAACTTTAGATGTTTGTATCCATGCTGTTAGCAAATTATCTCATCGGCAAGTGGACAAATTTTAACGTAACTTTATGAATGTAAAAATGGACACTGCCACAGCTAAGAAAACTTACAAAACACCAGCTAAATGTAGTGAAACACTAGTTAAAATACACACATTGTAAAGGGCTAGCCAGAAGCTTTTAACCAAAAGCTTTTGCTAAGAGCTAAAAACAGCAAATGCTGACAAAAAAACTGAAAGTAGATTAATGTTTGTTAAAAGTACCAAAAAACTAAATGCTAAAAGTATCTAAATGTTGACTTAATGTTAAACATAAAGAGTTAATGAAAAGTATTTTAAAGTTTGCTAAAAGTTAAAAGTGACAGATATAGTTACAAAGTAAAATACACTGCAAAAGATAAAAACAGGAGTGCACTGWTGAAGCAGATTTCAAAAAGGGCATATTTAAAAAAAGAAATCTTATTGTAACCTATTTTGTGGAGGGAAAAAATCTGTGTTGTATAAAGTACCTCAAAGTGTAACTTGAGTAAAAGTACAAGTATCTTATCATAAAAATACTTTGGTAAAAGTTAATGTCTTCTCTAAAATGTTACTTGAGTAAAAGTCTTAAAGTATCCAATATTTTTTGTACTTACTGTAAGTATCAAAGTAAAATTCTGATACAAAATCTACTTAAGTATTAAAAGTAAAAGTACTGAGTAAAAGTGAGCAGTTAGATTTTCCAAAATGACATTTATTGGGAGGTGACTTCTCCAAATTGGTGTGCAGCTGTGATAGGTTGTGTACAAACTAATACAGTGTCAGAATGGTATATATTTATACTTCTCATCCAACCACAATTAAATTCACTCTATCCAGAAGACACAATTTATCAGGATAGTATTTTTTAAGTAATAACAACTCGGAATAAAACAGGAGTAATGACTTTCTACTTCTTGCCTTTTTAAAAAATGAAGTGAGTAGAAAGTACAGATAATTGTGTGAAAATGTAAGAAGTAAAAACGCTGAAAAATAATCACTCAAGTAAAGTACAGATACCCAAAAATTCTACTTAAGTACAGTAACAAAGTATTTATACTTAGTTACTTTACAACTCTGGAAAAAATATAGTTTTAGAAGATACTATTTTTTAAACTAAAAGTTACAAAAATAATCCCAGCTCCAATCTCCTGAATGAGCTGAAGGTTTGTAAAATAACTCAAAAATGATGAATTAGTAAAGTGGCAAGAAATTCATAGAAATAATAAAAAAGGAAATTAATGATCAATCAATAAATCCATTTTGCTGTCAGATGGAGTGTAGAGCACACTTTTAATAAATAAAGACCAGCACAGTTCATCACTTCAACAGAAACACTGATGGAAGCAGAAAACTGTTTTTGAAACAGAGATTTTACAGATTTTAGTACAGAAAGATTTTATCACAGCTGCTGAGATCAAACTCATGTCATTTATAACCATCWCCCTACAACACAACTCACAGTTATTTCCTATTTCCTCCTTTTAGGGAATATAAGTCTGAACTCTGAACATTTAAAGGCTGGTTGATGACAACAGCTTCATGTTTTAATCATTTGATACTTAATCAAGCAAATTATATAATTAATTTAGATTTTCATCAAAAATAAAAGTAAAAATAAYACTGTATAATTCAGAATAAAACACTGTGAGAAGAGCAGATAACTGATTAATTACAGCCTTTTACGCAGCTTTTTCACTGATAAATGTAAAGTTTCAGCAGCTTCCTGTTAGTGAAGGATGTTTGTTGTTGTTTTGTAAATAAAACMTATTTTTACTCACTCGCCACAGTTTGTGAGGCTGCAGCCAACAGGATGAAGAGCAGTGCAGACGTCCTCATGTTCAGACCCTCCTCCTGGTGAAATGTCCCTTTAATGAGCCGCAGGCAGCAGAGACGACGGCTCCTTATGAGCTTCAGCTGCAGAAAGACCTCCTTCTGCTGCAGACCCACCCCCCTCAGGACCTGACTGGGTCTCAGGTGGACTTCTGGGGTCACAGCTCCTCCTCAGGACGTGATTGGGTCTCAGGTGGTCTTCTGGGGTCACAGCTCCTCCTCAGGACCTGACTGGGTCTCAGGTGGTCTTCTGGGGTCACAGCTCCACTGCAGCAGGGTGTCCACGCAGCTGATCCAGAAGCAGAACCTGTGATCCTCTGTGTTCAGATAAAAACTCACATTTAATGAATGAAAAAAAGTTGTTTKTAATTTAAGCTTTCGTTTAGTAATTTGCTTCTTTTATTAACAGGTTTTACTACTTTTAGCAAGAAATTTTCAAGCTAGCCTTTAGCTAATCTTAGCTTTACTTCAGCACTTTAGGCTGATGCTACTTTTAGCAGCATATTGTATTTAATTTTCTTGCAAATGATTATAACTTATAGCAAGTATTTAGCTACATTTAAGTAGTGTTTTGCTGTTTTTAGCTACAGTTCCACTACTTTTGTTACCATTTTGCTACTTTTAGCTTACTTTCTGTTACTTTAACTAATATTTTACTTCTTTTAGTGAGCTTTTTACCTTGATTGTAGCTAATGTTTTACACTTTTGCTTTTAGTTTGCATTTTTTTCTTTCCAGTTTTAAATAGCCTTTGTACTTTTTCTTTTAGCTCTAACAACACACGTGTTTTTAGTAGCTATTCAGCTGTGAAACTGCAGTTTCACAAAAAAGAAACTCACATTTTTTTTGTTTATTTTGCTTTTATTGTGACATCATTTATAAAAGTGTTGCTAAAAACAAATGTAGTTGAGCTGCTCCCCTAAATAAACTTCTAAATGAATATTTTAATATTCAGCAGCTGAACAAAAGTTGTTACTTCTGAAGATTTAAAATGTAAAAAAATGTACAATTGTTTATAAAAATCTAAAGCACGTTTTTCACTCAGTAAATATGATGTATTGCTTTTCATTTTCTTTTGACACGTTTAAAACCAAAGAGCAAAAATTCCTCAGAGGAATGGATATCACACCTTTCACCAGAACTTTACTCTGAAATCATCTTTTTTTTTTTTTTTTTTCACCATCTGGTGTGAAAATGAATTAAATGTTACCACTACCACACCAAACATTTAGCTCAAATTTCTCTTATGTCTGTGGTCGGTAGCTTTAGCGGCCATCTTTGTTTAGGTTGATGCTAATTCAGTGAAGCATTCTTTAGTGAATTCCATCAGATTTATTTAAAAATAAAAATATATTTTGTATTAGAGAGACCGAAGCTGGGTTAAAGTTTACAGAATGATTGATTCTGGGTGAAACAGTCATCTGACCCGGCTCGGCCCGATCCAGTCTGGTCTGATTAATCCTAATAAGGAGCARATTTAATCTGGATTTATTCTGCTCCAGATTCCACCACTTTCAGATTTTGGAAAACATTTTAACTGTTTCTTTTCTTTAGTTCAGCCCTCGGTGGGTTTAACGGAGTGTTTGKATCAGAGTCGTTTTATAAAACAATAGGTCACACTGAGGGGGGGAAATGAAAAGAATGCTAAATTAATGAGGATTATTGAACCTCTTGTGACTCTTTAAATTCATCCGGATTTGTCCTCAACCTTAAAGTAAAACTAAGAAGAGTTTTGTTGTATTCTGAAGGACTGTAAAGCTCTTTTTAAACAATGTCAGCATTCACAGTAAATCCTGCTCAGATGTGTTTCATGTGTGAGGTCAGTCCTTACCTCCAGCCCTCTGGTGGCTCCGCCCACTCTGTGCTGGGCCCAGGCCCAGCTCCTCTGACCCTCTGAAGGTCAGAGCCACTGAGACCATAGCTCTGTGCTGCTTTCTGCTCTGAAGTTTTCTGTCTGGAGACACATTTGAAATGTTACACCGTCTTTCTTTCTTTCTTTTTCATTTCATTCTCTAATCCTGAAAACAAACTGCAAATTTTATCTCCTGCCACCAAATCATGAAGCAAAAAACTGTGTGTGTGCGTTTGCCTGTGCTGTTAGCAAAATATCTCATTAACTACTCAACTAATATGAAACGAACTGTGACTGTTTWATATTAGTTTGCATGGCTGCAGCTGACACTAATGGAATGGAGAACAGATGCAGGTGGGCGTGGCTAGAACCAAACTGAAGCAATAAACGTGAAACTAAAGACTGAACAACATGGATCCTCTCAGAAAGGGATTAATGGATGAATCTACAAATGACTTACGCCATTCAAGATGGCCGCCACAGGCTAATCAACACAGGRAATGTGAAGAGAGAGGGTGGAGTTTATTCCTTTGACCAATGTTGGACCTTTAAGTTTGTAATTTTATATTTTTTTTAAAAATCAGTCATTTCTCTGGACTCGTCTGCTGCATGGGTGGAAACATGAACTTGTTTTTTTAATGAATGAATGAATGAATGAATGAATGAATGAATGAATGAATGAATGAATGAATGAATGAATGAATGAATGAATGAATGAACGAATGAATGAATAGCATTTTATTGCTCCCAAATGGAAATTACATAATTTTTCATTCCACGTTTTGTACATCAGGACTAAATGATTTGTTCGGACCAGGCTCATTCATTTTATTCAGATCAAGTGAACAAAAACACAACAGGTTCGACTTGTTATTTATGAAGCAAAAATGAAGCTGAAGCTGCGTTAAAAACTGACTCTCAGTCTCTCAGGATTGTAGCCCATTTAAATGCCTCAGTTTTAGTCTTTAAAAAAATCTTGAGTTTCATTCAGATGAAACTTTACCAATCTTTGTTGTGTTTTTATGCTGTTTTTAAAAAGAAAATATTTTCTGCTGCAGATTTTTTCTTCCTAATTGTCCTATCCGGACCTTTGACCTACTAATTGAGGTCTGTAGAATTTGAATATTGCACAGCCTGACCTTTGGGGTGAATATTCTGGGACGTCCACTCCTGGGACCTTTAACTGTTCTTCTCATACTGAAGAGCAGGACTGACTGCTGCTCTGAGCTCATTGCTGATGTTTTTCCATCTTGGTGTTGTGTTAACACACAAATAGATGCTCCAGAGCAGCAAACAGACAAAACGATGATGATGATGATGATGATGATGATGATGATGATGATGATGATGATGATGATGATGATGATAATGATGATGATGATGATCTGCAGCGACTGGAGGCAACTGAATGTCATTTTGTTTATTAAAACGTATTTGTTCATAAGAGGTTAATTTAAATACTGAGTCCTGATATCTCATGAGACCCAAGCCTTTTCTGGATGTGCATTTTTTATTTCTCTAAGATACAGGGGATTAGTAGGACCTCATAAGTATAATAACTAGACCCTATCATGATACAGGAAGTGGTTTTGGCAAAAGCTGATGTCCTCATATGAGGATACTGGGTCTCAAAATTTTACGCTTTTTGAGGAATACCTAAACAATTACCATACAAAACATGAGAAAGTTCATGATAACAGGAATGTAGGCATGCATGTATGTATATCTTTATATGTGTATGGATATGTGTATTTATTTATGTATGCCATCCATGTATTTATCCATTTATTTTTAGGTGAGTGGACAGATAGGTGTGTGGTCCTGTGTTTTCTTGGTTTGTATTAAATATACTTCTAATCTTTATTTCAATCTTTCTAATTACTGTTCTCTTTGTTTAAAAAAAGATGATGCCCTCATATGAGGACAATGGGTCTCAAAATGTTATGCTTTTTGAGACCCAGTGTCCTCATATGAGGACATCATCTTTTTTTAAACAAAGAGAACAGTAATTAGAAAGATTGAAATAAAGATTAGAAGTATATTAAATGTACACCTGTGTTTTCTTGGTGTATATTTAATATACTTCTAATCTTTATTTCAATCTTTCTAATTACTGTTCTCTTTGTTTAAAAATAGATTGTGTCCTCATGTGAGGACACTGGGTCTCAAAATGTTATGCTTTTAGAGGAATAACTAAACAATTACCATACAAAACATGAGAAAGTTCATGACAACCTTTCTGGTGGTTCCATTTTCCTAATTATTTTGGCATTATTGCAGTCAGCTGTTGACCAGACCCAGATCAGCGAAGTGCATCATCATCATCGACAACTTTCAGATATCTCTTCAGTTTGAAGATCATATCTTGTGACATAATTGCAGGAAATCACAGACCATTGAAACAGAACATCCTTGGTATAGTTAATTGTTGAACAAATGTATCACTTGCAAGAACTATTTATGCTTGTGAACTGTTCTAAATATTTCCAGATTTGTTCAATAAAAATTGTGACTAAATATACCACTTACACTAACTGTTTACATGTGTAAACTCTTCTAAATATTCACAGGTTTATACAACCTCATGACACACTCAATAACAAAATTATGGTCCCAAAGTCCTCAAATGAGGACTTTGTCTTTACTGACATTGTACTTTGCTTCAGATGTAAAAAAAATGTTATTTTTTTTGCATGTCTT